GTTCTCACACCGCGCGCGCAGCTCTGACTGGTCTGCAGCGCCGCACTGGACCCTCGCGCACCCGCATGCGCATCGTTTCTCATAGAACGCGCGCGCGGGTTGTGCGCGTGGAGTGGGCGCGCAGGTTCTCACACAGCATATGAGTAGCGTGCACGTGCACTGTGCACAACGGTTCTCACACAGCGTGCCAATAGCGTGCAATATGCACAGGTCTCCCCACAGGGCACCCATGGATCCTTACCGCTGACCATACACAGTGTATGCACAGTAGACCGGCAAGCACACCGCGCACTTCTTTAAACAATGCTTACCCTCAGCACGCACAGGCAACTTGTACACCCAAAACATGTATAGATGTAGTTGCAGTTACAGCATGCACACACATCCTGTGTGAAGAGCGCGCGCACACACACACACACACACACACGTTTACCCAGAACGAACATTCTTACACAGATCACGCCCATTTACACACACTGGGCATCTGCAAAGTGCTACAGCTCTGGATACCATTCTGAGCTAGGTCCTCAGGCGAGTGTCGAGAGTGCAGTCACCATAGGGCACATCCTCCAAACATAGGTTCCAGTTCTTCAGAAGCAGTGCTAAGTGAAAACCCCACCAACACACGCAGGCCCTCACCCCAGGTGGGCATGCCAGGGCAGACTGCAGTAGCCAACTGGGGTCGCTATTCAAGGAAAAATAAGAGCATGATGCACACTTCAAAAATCTCACCGAAGACTTCTCTGGGAAGACCTACACAAGAAATTGCTAAACCCCTTGACTTGGAAGGTGTCAGGAAAGGGAGGAGGAACCATTCCTTGGACATCCTGCCATCCCTGCCACAAAATTTCTTTTTCAGAAACATATTGAAGGAGTTGGAGGTGTAGTTCAGTGGTGCTTTCCCAGCATGTGAGGCTTTGGGTTTGTGGTGCTGCGGAGCACCCCAAGTTAACAACAAATCACATTGAATTAAGACATCCTTGCCGGGTCAGCCCAAGCCTCCAGGTGTTTACCAAGTCTGGCCCTTGTAGCCTTAGGCTGTACATTGGACAGGTATGTTTTTTGACTACTGGGTATTAAACCCAGGGCCTTCACACTGACACACTGATCTATATCCATAGCTCTTTTTATTTTTGTTCTGTTTTGAGACAGTGTCTCCCCAAGCTGCCTAGGCTGGGCTTTTTTTTTTCCTGTTTGTGTTTGTGTTTTCGAGACAGAATCTCCCTATGCAGTTCAGACCAGCCTTGAACTATGTACCCCAGGTTGGCCTCAAACTCCTAGGAATGCTGGGATTACAAGCAAACCCCACCAGGTCCCGCTGGGCTTGAATTTTCGATCCTCCTGCCTCTGCCTACCTGAGTGCTGCTAGTCTGGAGAAAGGAAATATATGATTAAGAATTTGAAGCCAGGCATGATGATACATTCCTAGAAATCCCAGTTACTAGGAAGTCTGAAGCAAGATCACAAATCTGAGCCCAACCTGGGCAATTTAACAAGATCCTGTCTCAAAATTAAAACAAAAAAATTTAAAAAGGAGTTGGGATGTAGCTCTGAGAATACCCTGGGTTTAGTCTTCAGTACTGTAAAAAATTTAACAAAATAAAATAGGCTGGGAGTGTAGCTCAGTGGTAGAGCACTCCTGGATTTGACTACCCCTCCACCTTGTACCTGCCTTACATACAAATGAAGTTGAATAATGGATACAAGTTTCTTTGGGGAATAATGTAAATGATCTAGAATTAAGAGTAACATCGCATAACTGTAGGTATACTAAAACCCAATGAATTGCACATATTAAGGTGAATTTTATACTGTTAATTATATCTCAATTTTTTAAAAAATGGAGTGGAAGTCCTCAGGAACTGGCATCTGGGACTCTAGGCAGAAAGGATGGAAGGAGTCCTTTTGTAGCACAAAAATGTCTCTCTGAATATGTTCCTGACACACCCTCAAGTGTGCCTGGAGCAAGGTGCATGTGTGTTGAGCAAGCCAGAGGGAGTTAAGGGAGAAAAATGAGCTGGAAAGCGGGCAAGTCAGGGCCAGTATCTGGAGCTGTATGAAAGCTGTTTCTAACTTAGTGAGATCAAGCAGTTAGTAAGAGCATGGGGCTGTTCGCATTTTCCTTTTAAAATATTTGAGTATGTTCGAGATATGCAAGTTACTTGAACTTCTTGATCATTTTGAGCTTTTTGCACCCCCTTTCCCTCTCCCTCTTTTCTGATCCCATTCCTCTTCTTCCAAGTCTGCTTCCATCTCCCACTGTCTCCTTATATGTTTGGATTTTCCATATGAGAACTATCATGTGAACTATCATGTGATATTTCACTTAACATTATGGTCTCAAAATCTACCAATTTTCTTAGAAATGATTTCATTTTTATGGCTGAATAATATTCCACTGTATATACATACATTTTCTTTATCCTTTCATTTGTCCATGGGCATCTAGGCTGTCTCCAGAGCTTGGCTAATGTGAATTGTGCTGCTATAAAAATGGGTATGCATGTATCCCTGTAGTATGATGTTTTTAACTCTTTTGGGGATATACCCAGGAGAGGTATAACTGGGTCAAATGGAATCAACCTTCAGTTAGCCTAACCAAGGAGGTGAAAGCCCTCTAGAACCAAAACTGTGAAACTGAAGAGATCGAAGAGGGCAATTAGAAAATGGAAAGACATCCCTTGTTCCTGGATAGGTAGAATTAATACTGATAAAATGGTTGTATTACCTAAAGTGTTATTTAATGTAACCCTTTAAAGTAGCAACATTCTTCACAGGACTGGAAAAAACAATCCTAAAATTTATATGGAATCAAGAGACAGAATAGCCAAAGCAATCCTGAGTAAAAAGTGGAAGGCATCACAACTCTGATTTTCAAATTATACCATGAAGTTATAGTAGTAACAAAAAACAGCATGGTATTGGCACAAAAATAGACCTGTACACAAATGGAATAGAAGACACAGAAACAACCTTATGTGCCTTTAGCCATCTGAGCTTTGACAAAAGGGCCAAAAAGATAAGCTTAAGATAGCCTAAAAAACAGAATTACATCCAATTGAAAAGCTTCTGCACAGCAAAACAATCAAGAGTATAGAAAAAAACCTACAAAATGGTGTAAGGGATTCAAATTCACTTTTCTGTGTTTTTTCAGCACCATCCATTAACCTACTCTTTCAATGGTTTTTGAAACCATTTTATCATATATCATAATTCTATATAAAGACTTGCTTGTGAGCAAATCTTGTTTCTGCATTAATTTTTTACTATGGTTTATGGTGTAACTTACTATCTGTTCCCTCTTGGTACTTTTCTGTATGTGTGGTGTTAATGATCAACCCCAGGGTCTTGTGCATACTAAGTACATTTTCTGCGAATGAGCAACACTCCCAGCCCTACATACTTTAGAACTGGCTATTAATAATCCCCATATTAATCTATCTTGTTTTCTAACCTCCCATCCTCAAATCCTGCTCTAATATTAAATGAAACCATATTAAATCAAAAGACTAATTTGAGAATTGACCTTTTTAATAACATTGTATCAGATCATCCAGGAATCCAACCTATTTTTTTTCTAAATGGCATCCAATAGTTTCCTGGGCTTTTACCATTAATTTTCTAAAACCCTATACTTAACAGTTGAGTATCTTAAAATGTTTTGTGCTACAATGGCAGAAGTAGTTGTAACAGAGACAGTTGTAACAGAGACGGTGTGACCTGCAGAGTCTAAAACAGTTACTATCTGGTCCTTTACTGAGAGACTGTAAAGTCTTAATTTATACTTAAGAATTGAGAATCAAACACATTTTTATTTTTGTTAATGGTGGTAGTTTCAGTTCCCAGATTCTAATTTTCCTTGAAAGTACAAATGTATCATTACCAAAAAAATGTCAATTTTCCCTTCAAATGCTTAAGCTCAGTTGTAAGCTATTTGTTTTTCTTTTTTGAGACAGGGTCTCACTATGCAGTTGAGACTGACCTGGAAATCACTATGTAGCCCAAACTGGTCTCAAACTCACAGCGATTCTCCTGCCTCAGCCTCCCCAGTGCTGGAATTACAGGCATGTGCCACCACACCAAGCAATTGTAAACTATTTCTATCACTAATGATTGTTTTCCACAACTGTATCAGTGCATATGGTGCATATTAGTGGTTTTCCTTTTAGCATTCATACATGCACATAACGAACATACTTTGATCATTTCCACCTCCTTCCCTAGTTTCATTTAGGGGAGGGCCCTCAATGAAATTGATTATAAATTTAAAACTACTTATATTAATTTAATAATGAACCTTATGCTTTATACGAAGTGAAAAAAACCACCCAAATTTGAAATGGTTTTCAAATTTTTGCAAATCTCTTTGGCTTAACAAAAGATAGATAGTCTCATATCTACTTTTGTATTTAGTGTGTTGCAATATGGTGTTTTGGTTAAAGCATATGAAGAAAGAACTTTGGCTCAAGGACAGGGTTCAGAGCCTCAGAATACCCAAACATGAGGGTGCCTTGTCCCCATCTCTTTTGATCTGGACATTCCATCAGTATCCATTGTTTCCTTTATACTGGTAATAGCACAAATGTGTTCCCATGAGTTCTGTGAGCTGCCTTAATAAATTAATCAATCCTAAGAAGGGGTAAAATCCTTGAAGCTGATAGGTCGTGAGTACTGGTAAACAACTTGGAGCTGGTGATAAGCATCTGAGGTATGGAATGGAATACAGCCTTAGAGACCGAACTATCTCCAGCTAGTGTCAGAACTAAATTGTAGGATACTCAGCTAGTGCCTGCTTCTGAAAAAATGACTGATTACTTAGTGTATTTGGTCACAGAAACCTGTATTCAGAGTATAGAAAAACTCAGTTTAGCTTTTTTCTCAATATTCTCACAAACATTTATTAAATTCAGAAAATTCCAGGGCCGCTCAGTGTTAGAACACTTGCCTAGCATGTGCAAGGCCTTGGTCCAAGAGATGTTTAAAATCATAAGTATGAGCCAGGTTTGGTAATATACATCTGCAATTCCAGCAATGAAGATGAGGCAGGAGGATCATTTTGAGTTTGAGGCCAGCCTAGGCTACATAGTGAGTTCAAGGCCAGTCTTAACTACATAATGAGACCTTACCTCAAAAAACACAAAAATAATCATAAATATGTAATAAACTTTATAATCTACAAAATCCAACTAATTCTATATCTGACAGTAATCAGCAATAGAAGGTGACTCAGATTTTGGCCCCATTTATTTTGAGACAGGGTCTCACTATGTAGTTCAGGCTGGACTTAAGTTCACTGTGTAGCCCAGGCAGGCCTAAAATTCATGGAGATCCTCCTGTCTCAGCCTCTTGAATGCTGGGATTACAGGTGTGTGATATCATGCCTAGCTGGCCCCACTTTTTGATCTACCATTATCAAGTTATGAATAACACATGACTAGAACAACAGACTAGCCTTTTAAAAATGAGCAAGTTGGCCAGAGCTGTATTTACTTCACTTATAGGTCTTTGTGTAGTACAAAAGCAGCTCTACTGAATTTGATTTCTGGCAATCTGAGATTATTCTAGGCAACTGAGTTATTAGAACATGTCTTCAGCACCGGTTTTCCACAAATTTGTTTGTTGAGAAATCCAACCCCATATTTGGAATGTGATTAAATGAATTAAGTCAAAACAAAGATAAAAAATGTATAACGTATCTTATCTTATTTAAAAAAGTTTCCAGAAAATCACCATGAACAAAAGTTTAGTTTCAAATGTTATAAACAGTTTGAAAAGAATCAATTATATACATTGTTCAAAGTGGATTTATATTTTATTTTCTAGTTGTAGTAGTTTGCATTGGATTTCTTTACAGTATTACACGTGGTGAGAAAAGAAACTTCTAAACCAGTCAGTACTATTAAATGGCATGAATCTACAGTAAAGGGACTCATTAAAACTTAAAAATGAAATAAGTCTATAACCATCAATACTAGCAACTATAAACTTTCTATAAAGAAATATAGAGCAGTTGGTATTCTATAAAATATCTTCAAGCAACTTTGAGATTTCTTAGTCTTACACTGAAATTTTAAATAAGATTGGAAGCAATTATTTCTGTCCACATGAATATACAAATATATATTCTACATGTTCCTTCTATTACAGGAATCAAAGACTGCAAGCAAAAGATTAAGTAGAGTATTCAGAAGACATGCATTTTCTTACACAGTCCTGGACATCAAAGTGAGAAGAGGCAGACACTGTTCTAAGTGCATCACATATATAAACATCTACATTATCAATCCTCCCAACAATTCTGTGAGGCAGGTACCGTTCTGATCATCCACATCTCACAGGTTTGGCCTGAATCTGAGATAAGCTAGAGAAAGCACTTGTGGTTACTGGCAGCAGAGGGCAAAGTGGGGTTGTGGTACAGGCCACTGGACTCTGGGGGCCCCTGCTCTTCCTCTTCTAGCACACTGCCTCAAACGTACTGGGGGTGGGGGCAAAATCCAATACACTCTCCAAATTGCTCAGTTCATTTTATACCTGAGAGTCTAGTGTTTTTTCACACATGTACTAAGCCTTAATTTAGAAGTTGTTCTTTCCTGAATAGGAAAGGAAAAAAAAGCAAGGACAAAAAGCTCAGTGGTTACATTCTAAGAAGCTAAGGCAGGACTGCAAGTTTGAGCCTAGCCTGGGCAACTAGTAAGACCCTGTCTCAAAGTTAAAAAGGGTGGGGTATTGGTTTAAGGTAAAGCAAAGACACAGAGCAGCCTGCAAAAATTTGTGGCTATTCCTAACAATATAAATGAAACTTACCCTTACCGAGTAGTATAAACATCTTAAATTAATATAAATCCTTTTAATTATTTGACAGTCAGGTAACACAAAGAACCTTATTTTCATTCTGATACTTTTATCTGTCAGGCCACAATGCTGGATGTTGTTAAATCTGTACACAATATAAATCAAGTAGAACTCTACCTAAGTATTTTATTCAAAACATGCTTTTATCTATTTGATTACTCAGAGTTTCTCTGAAGTCAACACTGACAGCAGTTTATACCTACTAAAGATGTTATTCAACATCACAGTGTAATATTTATTTAAGAGATGAGATAAAGTTAAATTACAAGTCACACAGTAGCCATGTCCATAGATGTGATGTAGTAAACCAATGGCTGTTTTTCAATAAAATATAAAAAATTTTCATCATGCATAGTTTATAGGCTTCTTAAGAAGTCCCTTTAAAAGCTGGATGTTCAAGAAAGATTCAACAGTCAAGTAAATTTGGCAAGTCTTTTTGCACAGATATCTTTTGTTTGGTTAGTTAGCTACTTTAGTAACACAACAACATATTCTAACTGGAAGAATAGACTGCATTAAAAATGTAACCTTATCAAATTAACAATTATTATACCTTCTTAGCAGTAAGAAGCATTATTCTTAGACTTCAAATATTTTATTTTCTGAGTATTGCTTATAGCACTGCATTATGGGAATCAAAAATATAACCAAAAAACCCAACCAAATAAAACAAAAGAAAAACAGGGTTTCTTGTGGACCACTTCCATTCCTTACTTGAAACACAATCAAATCAGTGAAACTATACAATTTCCACATCAAATATAAGTTAGTCAAAGAATTTCTCATAGTAGCACTGTATATGAGCTACAACTGTACCTCAACTATTTTAGTAATTACAAATCTAAATTTTCCAGGATGTAAACAGCACTAGATTTGGCTGTTATTACCACCACCAGCAGGTACATGATTTGGGGTCATAGTAACTTTTAAAAAACTCTTAAACCATATTTGTTACAGAAGGTAAGTAGAAAAACTTGTTTTTGAGTTGTACTATGACTACCAAAACTGTATCACATATGCAGAGTTCAAACATTCTTTGTAAAATCACACATAAGGATATATATACACATTGTAAATTTAGCAAAAACACTTTTAGGTATACAAGCATAAATACCCTAGGTTTAGGTTATTGAGGAAGACAATTGCCAAGTAAATTCTTCAAGGATGGTTTCTTTTGAGTTATTAAAAACCAGTCCTTGGTCTTAGATGCATCCACCTAGGTAAATGCACAGAAATTCCATAGAATAAGAAATAGGAACCACAACAATGCACTGTAATAATGTTTATAGTACCTCATAGTTTGAATTCAGAGTTTGCATACCTAGGAAAGAAAATCAGTTAAAAGCGTGATTTTAAAAAATCTTGTTCATTCATTTGTGTATTACTTTCCATCACTGGAAAGTTCTCTGGAGACCAACGTAGTAAAAGTTCCACAAGCTACATATGGATCTGCTTTAAAAAGGCGTATTTCACTGTAGATAGTGAGGTTTGACTAGCTCAGCCCTAACTTCATTTAATTAGAAAAGCTGATTAAATAAGGAAATGTAAATCTAAATTCCTAATACAAGTAAAAACAAACAAAAAAATCCCCACCAATCCAAATTGCCCACATCATGCTCACTTTGGCAGCACATATACCAATTTGCCCACATAACACAACCTCAGTACAAAGTGAGGACATAAACATATGCTGCAGCATGACATTTTATGGTATTCTCATGGTAGCTCTCTCTTCCATTCAGAAATTAAAGATCATCTTTTTTTTTCTCCCAGTACTGTGCCAAAGACTGAACCCAGGGAGTTTTCATTGAGCTACACTCCAGCCCTTGTTAAATGTTTATAAAGCATTCACTATTGCAGCTACAGGATGACTTCTGAAAATAACATTTTAAAACACAATCTGTTTTGTAAAAATAGCCTACACATGATCAAAACAATCTTGTTTGGGAAATTTTCTATGCGCAGTACTTAAAAAAACACCTCAACAATGTTAAATGGGTGCCACCTAGTGTTTAATTTCTGCAACTAAACTTGTAAATTCAAAACTGGTATTAAGACCCAGGTTCTAAAAGCTACTTTTGGGAAATGCCTCCCCCAGCCCATATGTTTATGATGGCAAAGTAAAATTATGAAAATAATGTACTGATATAAAAATTAGTATAAAAAGTCACATGCTACTAATAAATGGAAAACAAACCTGTTTTTAAATTCAAATGCAGATGTAGGCCTCCTTTAAATTGTATCAAAATCTTTAGGTGACCAGAATATAGAGAGATTCTGTACTGTCAATAGGCTAGCCAGAAGTTAGGAATTATTCACAATCTGTAATGAATACAAAGCAAATGGCTTATTCAAAACACCCATTTACTTAACTGAGTGGTCAGAGAAGGAAAGGCAGTAATGCTCTATTTTTGAAATACATGTGGTCTCCTACCTGTGAGCTCCATTACATCAAAAGAATGAAGTGGGCTTAACATTTCACTTAAGATAATTCATCATTAAGTTTTTACAGAAACAAATACCTTAGAACCAAATCAAACTGCCTTAATAAATTACAGTCATGCTATTGAAAACTTCTTCTTGGAGGGTTATGGCCAAAATCTAAACTGTAGGACAATCTTCTGAAAAACTGGAATGTAGAATGTTGGGTTCAACTTAGATCTGAAAGGCAACAGAACATCAGGTCAAAAGAAAGAATATTTCCACAGTCTGATACATATAAGTGGAACTTGCACTGTCTTAAGCTATCTGAGAAACAGGTTCTTCGTAATTCTGGGATGCTATCAGTGATCTTTATGATGTTCTTTATAATGCTGTATGTTGTGAAGACTTTTTTGCGGTGCTGAGGATTGATTGAGCACAGGGCCTCACACATGCTAAGCAAACACTCTACCACTAATGAACTATACCCTATCCCTTTTTATTTTGAGATAAGGTTTCATTTAGTTGCCCAGGCTAACCTCGAATTTGCTATCCTCTGGACTCTGGAGTAGCTGTTATTATAGGCACGCATAATCATAACTGGCTAGAATATTTTTTTTTGGTACCAGGGATCACTGAGGACCTTGCCCTTGGGAGGCAGGCAGAGGAGCCACTGAGCTAAATCCCTGGTCCTAGAATATTCTTAGTGAAGTTTAGCATTTCCTTTCTTTCTTGTGTGCTAGTGATTTGAGATTTTGTATTTTGGGAGTGGGAACAGACACATGGAAGCATGATCTCTTTTAAGAACTGGACATGTATATCCTAAATCTCTGTCAGTTAATCTGGTATAGAGGTACAGCTAGGGCACCTATAAACCTTCTGGAGAATGTCTGGGAAATAGGGCTCTCAGATGCTACAGCAGCTTACCTCTGAGACAGGCCCTTCCCCCATGCTGCTTCTGCCCTGGAGTGAAACCACTAAAAAAAAAAAGCCAAAATAAACTTCTCCTTTAATTTGTTGGTGTCAGGCATTCAGTCCCAGCAATGAGAAAGTGACTCATAGCAACAGCATAGTCACAAGAATTTTCTCGGCTCAAGATCTCTAAAGTGAAATACATTTTAAAAAAAATAGAACTTTGAGTTCTCATTTTCTATTTTGGGTTTTTAAAAAAAGTGCTGAGGACTGAACCCAAGGCCTTAAGGATGCTAAGCACATCCTCTACAGATAAAATATACCCCCAGACCTATTTTGGGTTATGCTTTAAAATGCATTATGGGGGTTTAGCTCAGTGGTTCTGCTGCCTGCCTCACAAGCACAAGGACCCAAGTTTGATCCCCAGTACCAAAAAAGAAAAAGAAAAAGAAAGAAATGCACTTCCACTGCCTGCCTTACAAGCACAAGGTGCCAAGTCTGATCCCTGGTACAAAAATCACCAAAAACAAAAACAAAACAAAACAACAGTATGTTTGTAAAAATAGTACCGTGTTTAAAAACTCCTCATAGGCAGGAGGTACTCAGAGTCTCTAATTTTATAGCATCCGTATTCTGAAGGGTTTGGAAATGCATCAAAATGTAATACTGAGGATGAATTTAGGCCTGGATATGTGATAAATCTACTGTCTATAGATTTCAAACCCACATATTCAACAATTTATTGGGAGTATTTTCTTGCCATTACTCCCCGACCAATATAGAACATCTCTACTTAGCATCCACAGGATACTAAGCATTTATATAATCTGGAGGTGATTTAAAGTATATGGGGAATCGCTTCTCGGCCTTTTGGCTAAGATCAAGTGTAAAGTATATGGGAAGATGTAAGTGGGTTATGTGCAAGTACTACAGCTTCGGTTTCTTTCTCTCTCTCTTCACAGTACAGGGCCTCTGTACTGAGCAACATCCCTACCCCTTTTTAAATTTAAAAAATTTGTTTTATTAACTATTATTTTGATGGTATTGGGGATTAAACTCAGAGGCTCTGAACTGAAATACAGCAGTACCTTGGTTTTACAATTGTGGGAGAGATGGCTGCATTTGTGTTTGTGTAGGGGAGATGGCCTTGGTCATGTTTTTAATCCAATGCAGAGTTTGCGAATGGAAGCAAAATTTTGCCAAATGCTTTTGTTTGCAAACCAAATTGTTTGCAAACAGAAGTGTTTGTGAACCAACGTATTACTATACAATCCTTAGACTTTTTAAAATTTTGAGACAGTGTTCCCTAGTGATCCTCCTGCCTCATCTTCCCAGAGTGCTAGGATTACAGGCATGCACCACCATGGCCAGGTTCAAATGGCACACCATTTATACAAGGGACTTAAGGATCTGTGTATGTGTGTCCCAGAATTAATACCCTGAGGTGACTGTAGAGAACCATGTGGGGCTTTACCTATATCAGATCTAAAGAAGACTTGCTTTGGTATCTCTGAAAAGCTCTGGTAATACTATGCACACTCTTGATTAGGAACAACTGCTTAAGATATTTTGAAATTACATCTTTGAATAAAACCAAATCACTATTTTGGGTTTTTACACATGGGTATGTTCTATACTACATTTTATGTGAAGGGGGCTGAAACCAGATTTAACAAGTTCCTACTAGCTTGAATCACCTGTGGCACAAATGGATTTAATCACTTTTATCAGTGATACTAATAAAATTAATAAAAAGCTGATAGAAAATTCATGCATGTACTACAGGTGATTCAAGCTGCCCAATAGCAAGCCATACAAATTACAGCCCTGTTGCGTATGTGTTAACTTACGAAGCAAGGACCTGAGTTTGATTCCCCAGTACCAAAAAAAGAGAGTAACTTATGGTACATCAGTTACTAAATTTATACTGCCAAAAAAAATCAAATTTAAATTTCATTTAAATATAATTACAGCAGAAAAGCATTCTTGTGGGCACTTCTGCTTTATTAGGAAGAACAATACATTTTCCTCAAAATAAACATATCAAAACCAAGAGTTTGCTAACAGTGTTTACTCAACAAATTACAAGGCATTCAATGAATGTTCTAATTTCAGTGCTTCATATTAAGCTATTTTTAACAAGATGATTCTTTAACATACTAATACCTCACTTGAGAAGGCATGTTCCTTTGATGTTATATTTCACAGTTGTCTACTCCATTTCTTTCTCTTTGCAGTGCTAGGGATCAAACCCAGGGCCATGCACTTGCTACCACTGAGCTATATCCTCACTCCTAAACTTTCTTAAACAAGTTAAGATTAGAATACCCGGCATTCATATTGCCAAGGCAAACATTGATCTACTCTGAAGAAATACTGAAGAGGAGTGTAAGAATTCTCAAAGTATAAACAGACTGGCTGGTTTCTAAATAACACTATGGATTTTAAAGGAGAAGTCTCAAAATATACTCTTACTTATGGGTAGGGGAAGGGTAATAAGGGAAAGGAAAAAAATGTGAGATAATGAAAAGATGAAAATAAAGTGTTTGTAGATGGGGAGGGGAGGAGGAAATGAGAATCAAGACTTGTCATATAGAGGTACAAGATCCCAATGATGAATGTAACTGTACTGTATCCCTAAAATGTACCAATAAACTCAATTAAAGCTGAAAAAATATATATATACTCTTACTTAAGTGTTCCACATTCTCAGAATTAAAAGAACTTTGGAGAAAAGAGCGGGTTTCTCTATGGGTAACTCATAAACAAATTAAAAAATCAGGGTGCATCTACTTACATCATCAATGTCTTCATCATCATCCCCAATGTCATCAAACTGAATTTCATCATCATCTCCAGGACCAAATGTATCAGTTTCATTGATCTTAGCTAAAGACACAACAAATATATAATCAAGATGTTACTAAAAGTAGGTTTGATAGCAACTGTTGACATATAAAAGGAAATTCACACAAGCCAACTTTGTAATTTAATCAAGGTTTGCTTTTTAAGCAATGCTCTCCAAACTTCTTACCTACCAACCCTACTACCCACAGCAAAATAACATACAGCATTTCCTCAAAGGTTACTTCTCTGTCAAGATAAAGAGCATGTGTATAAATTTTTTTTTGGTTGCTCACACAGGAATTTTTAGCAAGGCTAGTTCTAGTTACATTAATTCTGAACTTATGGTATCTTCCAGGTATACTTCAAAAAGTTCTTAGTGCATGCTACTCACTTTATTTCCTTGCGAAAATAGCTACTTCACCAATCATCAGATAGACTCATCAATCAGAAAGACGCAATAAAAAAAGGAACTAAAACATGCTAGTCCTTTTGAGTATTTCTTAGATCATAAATGCTAAGTAACAGAATCCTAAAATACAAAGTAACTGACAAGTAGAAAATAGGCTTATAAAAATAGAATATAAAGTGTAATTTTCCGAGAGTATAAGAGATTTTATGCGTTACTTTTGTATTTCGAAGAAGAAAAACAAAGATTATCTTTAAAAAACTGTAGTTCACTATGACACAAGGAAAAAATGGATTGAAACCTGACTTTTTAATATAAATAAATTCTTATTCTTATTTTTGTTTTTTTTTTTGAAAAGTTGCACTATAGTCCAGGCTGGCCCCAAACTTGCAATTCTCCCACCTCAGCCTCAGGGTTATAGGTGTGTACCACATTCAGAAGGAATTTGTTAAAAAATATTTTTGCAGTGCTGGGGATAGAATCCAGGGTCATATGCATGTCAGGCAAGCAGTCTACCACTAAGCCACACCTCCAGCCCTTCTTGAAGGACTTAAAAATAATTACTGTAATAAAATAATTCCTTTGGTATTGTACAGAAGTCCAGGACTTAACAAACCATAACTCAATTAAAGTGTATTTGTCAGAAACAAAATTGTAGTAACTTCTTTTAGTATCTACTATATGTAAAAAACAAATCTCCAAAATTCAATAAAAATTCTTTTACCTAACTACTGTATGACAAATTAACTTAGCCATTACCATGCTCAGGAAGCTCGCCATATGCTTTTAGACTTCTTGCTTCATCTGCATTGTATTTTAGAATCACATCAGCTTTGTTATCCTTAAATAAAAACAAGTAGGTTTTAGAACTGATTATACAAAAATATTATGTTATTTCATAAATTACTTTCAAGTTGAATAAAAAAATTTTTTTGTTATAAATCCTTTTCCCTTTCTTTAAATTTTAGTTTTAGTTTTAGGCCAGATGTGGTGGGAGTTCTAGGCCAGCAAGAGCAAAGACCAGCCTCAACTACAGAGGAAGACCCTGTCCTAACAAACCAAATAAACAACAAAAAAATTTAGTTTTCTATCCCTGAAAAAGATTGTTGGGTTTAAGCCAGAAGAGAGTTACATACATAATAATGACTGAACACATTTACAGATCTCAACTATGCAAATTCAAATCTTTTAGGGTATTTACTATTACCCTTGGTATACAAAAGTTCCCTGGCACCATAATTTACAGGTTGATCAAACAACGCAATTAAAAAACTGGGTCTCTGATATGACCTAAGGAAATCTACATGCCTTTCCATATAGCTGTTCTTAGGGTATCAATCAGAATCTCCTGGAATTTTCACATTTCATTAAGTTTAGTAGATATGAAACCCACCAATCTAGTTTTAAAAGTTCTTTAGGTATTTGATTCAAATGTCTCACTAAGAAATACTGCCTTAAAAAATGTTTACACTTCTCCAATTGAAAAGAATCTCAGTTAAGGTGAAAACTGATAGGACAGTGTCATTCAGAAAAGAACTTTTTAAAACACTGTATATGAGCCCACGGAGATCTTGTCAAAATTCTTAATTTGACTGAGGAAGCCTGGGGTGGGGTCCAAGAATCTTCATTTCTATCAAGTTCCCGAAGAGAGTAATGTTACTGATCTCTGGACCACACTTTAAGTGGCAGAGGCATAGAAAATCATGTGGGATTACACAGAATTTTATTCCTTTCAGTACTTTGGCTCCCTCTAATTGGGAATTAATTGTTCTTCCTACTTCCGGGGTTATTGTTAAGATCAAAAGTGAAAAACAGGCATTAAAGTGGTTTACAAATTTAAAGCAGGCTTTCTCAGCAAAGGCACTGATAATTATTTTAACCCAAATATATTTTGTGCATTGTAGGATGTTCAGTATCACCAGTGGCCTATATTTACTAAAAGCCAGCAACACTGCTCCCTCCCCGTTATGACAACTGGAAGTCTCCAGACACTGCCAATGTGCCCAGGGAGGCACAAATGCCCACAACTGAGAATCCGCAGAAGTCTTTATTTTCTTCTCTTTCTTTTGGTATTGAACTTTGCACTGAGCTACATTCCCAGTCCTTTTATTTGCCCAGACTGGGATCAAACTTGCAATCCTTCTGCCTCAGCCTCCCAGAGTGCTAGGATTACAGGCAGGTGCCTCCCAGATTAAAACTTTTACTCTGGAATACAAGTTTAAAAAAAACCAGAGTGCAATCAAGGTAATAAAAATACAGATATAATGGGCTGGGGATTTAGCTCAGTGGTGCCGCTGCCTGCCTTCCAAGCACAAGGTCCTGATTTCAATCTCTGGTACCGAAAAAAAAAACCAAACCAAACAAACAAACAAACAAACACCAAAAATCCAGATATAATTAAATGGGGATGAGTTCCAACATCATTAGATCTCACAGATCCACAATGGACATATATAAAGCTGTGGTTGTGGGAGAAATTATTAAGGGCAGCTATAATTTTCTTTACCATGTGCCCATCAACATTTATTGTACATACTAATGTCAGTGTGTACATACTGTAGTTACCTGTATGCTTGTCTTTCTCTAATACCACCCTATATGTCTTCTGTGAGATGGGAGTTGACTGATGCCAAATGTATCCCCTACAATAATGGTTACCAGATTTTTACTTATAAACCAGTAATTTTTTAAAAAAATTGGGGTCCATTGTTAAGATTTTTTATTTTACTAAAATTAAGTAAAATCACTACTATGTAATATCACTCACTCCAAAAAAGGGAAAACTCAGGCAAGGGATTTAGCTCAGAGGCACCCTGACTGCCTCGCAAGCACAAGGTCCTGAGTGCTACCCTCAGGGGGCATAGGGATGAAGACTTTAAAATGTTATAAAAAAGGTGGACCATTTATCTTAATAAAAACTTTGTGTTGATTCCACAGATTGGCATTTGGAAACTATAATCCCTGGAACACCTAGCACAGTCTAAAGCACAACTACATTAGAGAAGGGGAACGGTAGAAAAGAGAGTGGAGGAAGAAGGAAAGAGGAAGGGATGTTATAGGGATAAATAATCAAAAGTATGCTACATGCATGTATGAATATGTCAAAATGTAACAAACTAGTCTGGATAAGTAACGTGCACTACTAGTAATAAATGCTCATCAAATTCAAGCTAGTAAACAACAAACAATTTTAATTTAATTTCTACCTGGTAGTCTCGGAGACCAACCAATATGATGTCTGAGGTATTTATCCAAACCTACAAAAGAAATTGCCATATGTTATATTTAAAAGAAAAACGAAATGGGATTTAGCTCAGTGGCATCACTCCTGGGTGGCAAGTGCAAGGTCCTGAGTTCAATCCCTCTTATGAGAGAAAAAAAATCAAGTTCTAGAGTAACATTAATTTAGATATTAAAAGATTTTAAGATTGTGAAGCAATACCAATCCAAGTGGTTAACATATAATAGAAAATTACATGGTTGTATCATCCCTCTCGCCCACCTATTTACATACACAAAGGCACTAAAACTGTTTTAGCTTAGAAACAGTATTGATATTATTTTTAAAAAAAAAAGAAAAAGAAAACCAAACCAAAAAAACAAACAAACTTCAAAATCAGAGTTGAAACTTTTTTAGTGTTGGTGATTGAACAAAGGGAACTGCAAAGTAGCCTCTACTACTGAGCTACACCTCTAGTCAGTGTTGGGACTTTTAAACAACATGATCCATATTCAAATTTTCCTTCTAACTCCCACCCCAGAATCCAAACAAGGGCCATCTATCAGGTCCCTTAACTATCCTTAAAACTGGAGTAGTTCCCCTGCTTTTCCCCCCTTTTGTAATATTAGCATTTTATTAAAATGAAAACTATTTGGGGCCAGGGATTTAGCTCAGTGATTCCACCACCTGCCTCACAAGGGCAAGGACCCGAGCTCGATCCCTGGTACCAAAAAAAAAAGGAAAGCTATTTGTTTCACACAATTCTCCTAAATTTGGACTTGCTGGTTATTTCCCCATGATTCGGATTTTGGATAAATATCTTGAGCAGGAATACAACACCCATGATGCAAATGATTAAACAATGGCATCTGTATAAAATGACCATTGGAATCTTGCTCTTTGACTTCAAGGTAAACCGTTGGGCCCATAAAAACTGTAAATATGGAGGTTTGGGGATGTAGCTCAGGTAGGGATTATATTTAACATTCAAGAGGCCCTGGGGTGAATCTCCAGCATGCACAAGTGCAAACACACAAACACACACACAAATGATGCATTCCCCACCCCTGCAACCAATTTTTTATTAAAGCCAATCTCCCCATTTACCTTTTTTCTTAGTTTCCCCCTGATGTGACATAATCTCTTCACACCATCAAAACACATTGCTTCTAAGCGTCCATTTCCCAACATCTTGATTACCTGGGCATATTCTGGGGGACAGAGAGAAAAAGAGTATGGGTTATTGCTCGATTTTTGATAAAAGTAACTTAAGAAGCACACACAAAATTGATAAGTAAGACCACATGGTTGTATTGGTTGGGAATAAATACATGCAAAGTATAAACAAATGCAAGAGAATTAAACACAAAGCTACTTAATGGCAGAGACAGAACCAAGACTCTGTAATGTTTGTATTACAACCTGCCTCTGCTATTAGACATGTTATAATTATCTGCTCATTCTAAGTAGAATGACTACTGTCTCCATGATTGTATGCTCTACCCATGGAGATCAAAGGTGGCTTGTCCAAAATATACATTATACCTCATTAATCTCTCCCATTCTGATCCTTGCTTAATTTTGTTTTCCCTCAGAATCTTTAGAGGCAAATCTCATGGGACTTTTAGTACCAGTAGGTTAATTTTAACAATGTCTTTATTAAATTAATTATCTTGGTGATTAGTATTCTAGAGTTCTTGTAAAGCTAGAAAAATGTTCCAAATAAAATACTAAAGTTTTAATCCAAGTCTTTTTCAATTTCACTGTCAATGGAAGATACTGGGAAGGTGACTAGGAGATCTGAGGATGGTGGTAGTGGTGGTGGCATTGAGGAGGCATATCAGGTACATCACTGCTGACCCTTTAGGTGTTTCCTAAGACCACTGAAAAGAGGTTATCCACTAGCTTGTGAACAAGCTCAACTGTTGGGTTGACACATGGAAGGGAGTTATTCAAACTACAGTGAACCCCACATCTCAAAATGCTTGGTTCACTCAGAGACAGCCTCTCTTTCCAAAGTAGAGAAAAAATACGAAAAGGCATTGTGTGCCAATAAACTCGACTGCTAATAGAGGCAAGGTGACTTAAAAAAAAAAAGATCTTTTAGCCACACAATATTTTACTTTTAGCAGCTTATTTATCCACCAAAATTTCTAATAAAAAGACACACAATGGTGTATGCCTGTAATCCCAGCTACTCAAGAGGCCTTAGCAGGAAGATCACAACTTCCAGGCCAGCCTAGAGAACTTGGTGAGAACTTGTCTTAAAAACCAACCAATCAACCAACCATTGGGGATGTAGCTCAGAGATCAATCCCCAATTGTGTATGTATGTCTATTAAAGGTCTGGAGATTACTGAGAAAAGTAAAGTACAGATATCCTACTAGATAATATCATATTAACATTAAATTACCTAAGCATGATATGTGAGAATGTTTACTCTTAGACACATATATGAGTGAATGAAAGCTTTACAGAAGCACACGCAACTTTTCTGCAGGCTTAAAATCACTCAACTACAGAAAAAAAAAACCCACAAGTGATCCAGTCAGAATTTATTAGTGCTATGGATCTTGGTCTTAATGGGTCTAAAAAGATCAAATGTTTGGTTTTATTTTATTGTATTTTATGAAATCATACCCTAACAGCAAAGGAGAATGGAGTGGCCTTGGATTCATCCTTCAAATATCCAGTCTACTGAACACACTGTTTACTGTCAAAAAGATTCACTAAATCATGCAATTGTCAACGTTTTCCAGGCTTAATTTCTTCTAAACTGTATAATTCTTTCTTAGCTATAATGCAAATGTTCACATAAAACAAGGAAACCTGTATATTTACAGAAACTTCACTAATAGTAGGATCAGGAAATGATTACTGAAAGAAAGGCTCTATAGAAGTGTAAGGAATGAGAAATGGAGAAAGGCAAATGGGACATGAGATTAACTGCTCAGGATTATTAAGATTTCTTTTAAATTTAGAGATTGAATTCCACATGTAAAGAAAAGACATTACTAAAAATAGCCTAACTTATGAAAACTCTTACCTTGCCCATCCTCTTTGAACACCAGTTCTCTTTTTTCAGATTCATTCTCGTTCTTACCTCTGCGTCTATTTTTACCTCCTTTACCTAATGGGTTTTTTAAAGAAAAAAGACATAAAATATCTGCAAAATAGTATAAAGAGCAACTACATTAAGGTTTATAAAACTATCTTTTAAAGTTACTTCAATTTAAAAATTCATTTCATTTGGTTAGTCAATCCTCTTAAATCCGCAATTGCCCATCACATTAAAAGTTAATAAATATATCACCATCCCCGCTGCATGTAATTTCCTTTTGGATTTTTTCTGACACAAAATGCAAATAGCATATATTATATAAAAGTACAGTATATAGAAATCATTTTACCTTAACACATGATCTTTCCAAATAAAACTGTAACTACATACATGGTGTGATTAAAAAAATACAATGAATGTTTAAAATTTTTTAAATTTATTGTAGTAAAAGACACACTGCCACTGGGTGTGGTGGTGCACACCTGTAATCCCAGCACTCAGGAGGCTGAGGCAGGAGGATTGCTATGAGTTCGAGACCAGCCTGGGCTACACAGTGAGTTCCAGGTCAGTCTCAATAACACAGTGAGACCCTGTCTCAAAAAAAAAGAAACAAAAACCAAAAACCAAAACCAACCCCCCAAAAGGACACACTGCCATTAACTCCCCACCTCAGAATACTCCTCCCCAACTTCCCCCTTCAAACACACTTATCCCATTGTTCTTGCCACTATGTAAAGACCCTCATGAAAGAAGACTTGTATGGCTTCAGAAGGTGGGAAGAACATGGAATAAGTACGTTATAAGTGAGGGAGAGTTTTGAGGAGGATTCATGACAATGTGTCTTTTACTGTAATCATTTCTTTAAAATTAAACGCATTGTTATTTTTATGGCATCGTGTAAATATTCTTCTAGGCTGAAATCTTGGATGCCTTCTGAACCCAGGCCCTATGCAAGGAACCTGACTATTTCCAATAAAGAGAGGGCTGGGGATTTAGTTCAGGGGTTCCGCCACCTGCCTTGTAAGTACAAGGTCTCAAGTTTGATCCCCAGTACCAAAAATACAATAAAAATAAAAGAAGTAAGGAGAATGGACAGAGAACTGTGATTTTTTTCAAACTTGGTGTAAGAGAGCACCATACATGTTGAAATTTCCATTCACAACTCAATTTACAACTGGTGTGGTGGTGGATGTCTGTAATCCTAGCACTTGGGAGGCTGAGACAAGAGGATCACTGTGAGTTCCAGGACAGCATGGGCTGCATAGTGAGTTCGATGCCATCCTTTCTGAAAAAACAAAACACCCCTCAATTTACCTTCTTTTCACAAAGGTGGTCCTTAACATCCTTGTTATATGAACCTAGTGACCACGCTGAAAAACAATGGGTAATAATTTTACCCCTTTAGTTATCACAATCATTTTATGAGGTATTAACAGACATTTATTCACAGCTTGCCATTAAATTCACCTAAGCCAAAGGATTCATTTAATATTAGTCAGTGAACAGGGGTGATCAGATTCACACCTAATCCTTTTTTGCTCTTAGCATTCATAATAGGGCACTTCTCCACAGTATTACTCCCACTCTAAAACCTAAACCACTGGCAGTCATTTCCAAAAGGTGGGGACAAAGGCGCTAAGTGGTAGTGACACCAAGGAGCTTAGAGGAAGAGCTTGGAAGCAGCAAAAAGTCAACAATGCAGAACATGCACCTGGCCACTACAAAGACAGACATCTAAATTCTTTTTTTTTTTTCATTGCCAGGGATTGAACCCAGGTCTGGAAAATGCTAGGAAAGCACTCCCCAGCTCTAGGAATCAAAATTCTTTAATGAGTGCACTTAAGTCCCCCCTGGGTTAGTCTCACATTGTGTGCTATTGTTAGGTGGACTTCTACAACTTCCTGATCCATCCCAATCCTGAGAATTCTGTATATAAGGCATTCTTAGGGCACACCAAAAGTGATTTCTTAAAGTACTTCAAGCCATTATGCATGCCAGATCTTCAAACTAAAGTGCAGGCTCCACTAGGGCCAGGATCACATCTGAGCTGTTCAATGAGTTAGTTATATGCCAGAGTTTGGCAAGACTTCAAGTGAACCAATCAAAGGGTAGCCCAAACATCCTGGAAGAGTGGTGATTCAAAGAGTACAAGTACCTCATCCCAAAGACTCTTCGTGAATAGGCCAAAGCATGCCCTCTTTCCTCATTTGAGGATGGCTAAGAATTTCTAAAGAAAATAAACTGGTAAGTTATCAGTTCAACAATCTCAGGTACAAAAAAAAAAAAGAAAAGAAAAGAAAAAAGAATCAGTTCAAAAGTCATGCAACACATAAGTCTATGGCAGTTTTTGTCCATATTTGGTTTAACCACCACAAGATATTTACAGGGCTTCTGGATTTTGCAATGAAGACAGGAAAATAAGTACATTTCTGTATTACTAAACTTCATAAAATTCAAAAGCCTTGAAAAGGTACCCCTCCTCTAAGTAAGATAATAAGTATAGTCACTAAACCAAATCAAAATTCTCAGATCCCCCTTTTAAATCAAACAGAGGTATTTTGGCAAAATTCCCAGGAGGGATCTTCCTTAAGCAAGACATAAGGCTAATGAACTAGATGTAATTTAGTGCAGAAGTCACGTCCAAAAGGAAGCCCATTATTCACCTAAGGGTGGAGTCAAGAACAAAAGGGAGATGATTTAGTCCAACAAATATTTGTTGAGCATCTCCTAAGTTCCAAATGCTAGCAATCCAACGTGATTAGGGTGGATGCCATTCCTGTCCTTCAGAGTTTACAGCCTAGCGAGGGAATTGGAAATTGCATCAATAAGATGAGAATAAAATTCCTACTGATGTAATCCAGTTACCATCTCAAAATAAAGGATTTTACAGGTTAAAAGAAAAACATTTTAAGACTTTTAGAATATTATGCTATTGCACCATCTTTCCTATAATAATTAGTAGTAAAAATTCTTGTTACAAAAAAGACCTGTAAAGTTGGATTTCTGAGGGCAGCAAGGTGGAGTGCCCTGAGAAAACTGCACAAAATCTTGGACACAACTGTGAAGTATTCTGAAGAATATTAGTAGTGACATCTACAAAGAATAAACGAGGAAGAATCCCTGGTGCCAATCAAATGTTACGTAGACTTCCACAAGTAGGCCCGAGTCAGGGAAGAAGGTCCTAAAGATGAACAATCAAAAGAAACTTCTAACTGGGCATGGTGGCGCACTCTGGAGGCTGAGGCTGAGGCAGGAGGATCGCTCTAAATTCGACCAGCCTGGGCTACATAATGAGTTCCAGGTCAGTCTCAACTACATAGCGAGACCCCGTCTCAAAAAAACAAAAGAAAAAGGAAACTTCTAATATGCTCCTCTCCTGTAGAAAATACAAAGTTTTGCCTATCTCTACTCGCACAATTTTACTTTGATAAATTCTAAGCATATTAGAAGTATCAGAAACACTATGTCTATAAAAAGGAGAATTTCCTTAGGAGTGTTCTGCTTTAACTTAGACGAGGTCTTCTATTATGGAAATCCCCAATAAACTTGTCCTCAAGTCTGATAATTTGTGAACGTTTAACAAAGTTTTTAATTCCCATCATGTATACATGATCTGAAACAAAAGTAACACTTAGCTTAATATATATCAAGTCTGGAAAAAAAATAAGCTAAACCCCGTAAAAAGGTGGCGCAAACAAAATTCCTAGAAATAAATTTTTAAAAATGCCTCAAGGTATCACCTGTTTATAAGGAATCAAGGAACAGCCTCAACAATACTGAACACTGAACACTGACTGCCCATACAGGACTGCTAGATGGGCACGAAAGAAGACACGACCCTTTTAAAGTTCAGAACTACTCCCAGGGGTTAAGTCCATGAGCCCGGTAAAACCAAAGGAAACCATCTAGGACGCCCGGAAGGTCTGGCGACGGTGTCCCTGCAGGTCCCTAGCGCACCGCCTTCAGCCCGGCGCGAATCAGGGGCAAAAGCCCACATTCTCCCACAGGAGGCCCCACAAAAATGGCGTCGGCTCCACCCCAGAGCGATCAAACTGGGCAACACGAGTAACTTCCCGCTCCTCCCTCTGGCTCAGAGTCGCACGCGGCCGGCCCTGCCACAGTCAGGCAGAGCGGGAAGGGAGGAAGGTCACTGGGGCCTGGATTTATCCGGAGGCAGCGGGCAAGCCCGGGGAAAGCGAGCCGAGACAAGCCGTCGTCCCTGGTCCAGGCGGCATTACCTTTATTCTTGGGCATGGCTGTTACGACGGCCGCGCGGTTTCTCTGACTTCTTCCGGGGTGACTCCGGCGTCCGTGACTCCTCCGAGGGGAGCGACTGGGGTTGAGAAGAAGCGCGTGGGACTAAGCTAGCGCTGGAGGCCGAGTAGCGTGCGCGGCTCCGTCTCAGGACCCGGCTCTACCGAGACCCGCAAGCGCCCACGCTCCGCAGCAGCAAATGGCGTCGCGGCTGCCTGCGTTGCTGTTCCCCGCCTCCGCCGCCGGTGAGGACCGACCTCTTCCCGCCTCCCCCGCAGCCGGCTTCACGGCGCAGGCGTGGCCAACTGACCCTTATTGTTAGAGTGGAGGGAGGAGACGCTTTCTGGGAGAATTGGCGGCAGCCAAAGAGAATTCAGGCGGGATTGACATCATAGTAAGGGGCGGACTGAAGTAGCACGGTGGCTGGCTGGCCTTGCCCTCTCTTGCTGTGTGACAGACAAACCCGCTTTTCGAGGTTTGACAAGTTGCTGACTCATTAACCTCGTAGTTAGCTGTTTTAGCGTGGCTCTTTGACCTGCCAAGCCAGTCTGGGAACCTAAAGGGAAGGGAAAAGCCTTCCTGTCTTACATTACCAAAGCATTTCCATGACAGCTGTTACTATTTTTTTTCTCATTTCATACCACATAATTTATTTTTCAATAGCCCAAACCATGACGGTCACTTATTCAGCAAGTTTTACTTAATTTAAACGGATGATAGAAGAGAAACAATATATTTGATGAAAACCCATACCAAAGTTCACCTCTTTCATGATGGCTGTAAATATGAATTTATTTTTTTCCTCATTGAGTTTATTGGTACATTTTAGGTATACAGTACAGTTACATTCATCATTGGGATCTTGTACCTTTACATGACAGGTCTTGGTTCTCATTTTTTCCCCTTGTCCCTGCCCTCCCTTCACCCCCTCCTCCCCTCCCCATTTACAAGCATTTTACTTCCATTTTTTCATTTTGTCCTATTTTTTCTTTCCCTTTATTACCTTTCCCCTACCCTTCCCACTTTCCCTACATCTTTAGCCCTTTTCTTCCTATTTCACATTGTCAATTATCTCATTAGG